AAAAAAAAAAAAAAAAAAAAAAAAAAAAAAAAAGGACGAACCTTCATATTTCTTCTTCTCCTTGCCCTTGTGATGGGGCCGATTTTTCTGATCCTCCATCTTGAATTACACAAACATGCCTTTCGTCCAGCCTGCTCCTGCTCGACTCGCGGTGGGCTGAATTGGCGTTTTGCGTGGCTGCAAGCTGCGATGCTCGTCCAGAAATTATTTCTTTCCTCTCCGCTTTATCCGGATCAACCAATTTCCGGGCGGCAGAAAAGTAAAAGTGGGTGCGATTTCCTCTAGTCTATTTATGTACATGTTAAAATCACGCTAAGCTGTTCACAGACTAGCGGGTTTTCGCTTTATTTACTGCTTCTCAACGACAGCTGGCAATTTTAAGACAAGCAGCGAACAGCTCTACTTTTGAGTAACCAGAGTATAATTTCCGGCACAGATCAGGAATTACCGTTACTGGTAAGTTATTCTTCATTATGTCTGTGTAAATCTATACGTGCTGACTTTGCCGCAACATCGGAGCTTCGTACAACAAGCCAGTCGTATAGATTGGTATTTCACTTAAACATTGAGCCTGCTTTATAAGAACTATTTAAGCACTATCAGTCTAGGATTTACAATAACCTCTAACTTCCACATCCACCACTACCACACCCACCGCCGCCACAACCACTACCACACCCACCACCACAACCACCACCAATGTCAGAAATGAGATTTCCCACACTATCAAAGACGCTTCCACAAGATATGCCTCCATTTTGAGCAGCACATTGACCTGCTGCGACAACATCAGTGCATGTCCCCGCAGCACAATTACCGTATCCCCCAACATAAGCATTCATCCAGCCAGGGTTGCCGGGGTAAGGGCCAGTACTGATGCTCGGGTCCACCATGTAAGGCGCATACAGCGGAAGATAATATGGATAACCCCAGATCATTGAATAATACCCTTCCATTGGCACGGCGTTGTTACTATCACTTGCGCTGCTTTCCTTCTCCCGGCGTTTCTGGGCTCGACGACATGCTTTATCCCACAATTGTCGGAGACGCATGGTCGTTACGTCCTCTGGAACCCGAACGATGCCGGAACGCACTGCATTGTGTGAAGAGATATGGGGATTCTTATCCGGTTCCGAGGATATTCGTGGGTCACCGTGTAAGCTTTTGGCTAGCGCGCGCGAATGTCTTGTTGTTGATGAGAGCATGACGTTACCGGGATACAAAATGGGTTCCCGTGTAGCTTCGCAGTACCAGCAGGTGCATTCACTATATATCTCACCATTGGTAATGCGTTTGTACTCCTTGCTGGTCCATTCAAATGCATCTGACAGCTTGCCTTCGTCGACTTTATCATCGTGATTTGTGAATGTCCGACGTCCGTAGTGGACTGATCTGTTTGTTGTATGGAAATAGTATCGATACGCGGACATTTGATGTGTGTGCCACGCAAGGTCAACGTCTAATGTCGGTACGGCCATTTTATCTGGATTACTGATCATGATTGTCAGAAACGTCATGTATTTGCGAATCAAACGGTCCATCGTCGTTGAAAGAGCTGGTGAATGTAGCCAGTCGAGGTTGTCCATTTTTTGTATAAACGTACCCTGCCGAATAACTGCCCCGACAAGATCAAGGCCGAATATAGAACTATTTTCCCAGTAATGAGACATCATGCGTCGAATACTTATTTTTTGGACTTTTGTCAATCTGACTCTTGGGCCACCATTTATGGTCTTCATTAAGTATAAGTCACTCATTTGGGCTTCGAGTAGGCTCCGCACACCGTACATGTCGTTCACGCTACCACCAGGTTCAATGCAATTGTACACCGTACGTTGCCCAGCCTTAATCAGGGAGTTTGGAAATGAAAGCTCCAGGAGTGAACTCGGAACACCTTCTAGGTTCAGGTATGTTCCAGGCATTGGGCGGTCAAAGGCCAGTAGGGCTTCCACGTCTTCATTGAACCGGGCGACCCGCATGATTTGATGACTGTGCTTTAACTTGCACTCGCAGTAAGCCTCAAAGCGACTGTCGGCGTATCCAGTACATTCTTCAAATGCGTAATCGGGCGAGGATCCAATCTCCCCGGTTGTCCAGGGGACATTAAATTGACGCGAGCACCTAAGGCACTTGAGCGTCTTCTCCTCGGATTCGTCCAGATTATCCCAAAGCCGTCCAGATATTCCGGTGAAAGTTTTTATTGCTTCTTCGCCAGGGTTATAATTGAATGTTTTGGTATCTATGGCATCGTCAATTAACTGCCAGGGAAACTCTGTGTTCCACAAGGCCATCTTGGAGGCACGGATACAATCTTCTAGGTAAGCACGAGGATTAAGCATATGAGTATGCCAAACCATGAGGACATCTGGCACAATTCATATCAACAAACTAGGATTTATTGCATTGATGTTGTCGGGAAAACTTACCAAGTGGGGGCAAATTATTTGCCAACCAGAGCAGCGAGTTTGACCCTATGATTGAAGTTTGAAGTTGTATAATTCCAGAGACAGTCGGGAGTTCTCCAGTGGGCACTGTCTTTGTCCACCATTCCATGTAGCGATCCACTGCTCGGGAAGTGTATACTTCCCAGCGCTTCTCCCTGATACGTATCAAAGCCTTGCATTTGGCCATTTCGTCCCCATCACCAAACTTGTCTGCCTGTGAGTCATGAATCCCAAACAACCCGTCCACGGTAGAGACGGTGGCGCGCAAGTCGGCGAATGCTGCAAGTAGCTTCAGGTGTAGGATACATTGATCCTTGGTGACAGTCTCATACATGGCTTGCCTAGGATTGGGAAACTCGAGAGGTGGGATGCCAATGAAATCTTGTTTGCCCTCATGTATGCTGTATGGTGGTGGATCATCACCTTCAGCTTTCCTTGGTGTGGATTCATTCTTGCTTTTTTCCAAATCATTTCCTGGAAGCCATTCAGGGTTCATTTTGATGGTGTTTGAAGAGATGGTGAACAGCTACACTTTAGAGCTATGCGATGGCCGGGGACATCACTCCTATATATGCTATTATGGACAATAGCCGCAGAGTCGATACCCCGCGCAGACTTGCAGAAAATCCAATTTGTTGTTACTATTGTCGTAGCAGGCGTTTTTCGGAAGCCGAAGGAAACAAGACCAAATCCGCCTTGCGACGGGTGTACATTTGATGACATTTTAGATGGGTACTTCTGTGTTCAGACGCATATTTACCATGCAAGCCGCCAATAAATCACCTTCTCTCTTAGTTCGCGGTGGTGGCGATGCAGTAACATTTAAAAATGGGCAGTGCTTTGTTACATGCAGCAGTTGCTGAGACTCAACATTGAAAGCTTTTCGTGCCATTCAGCGAGAGCGTTGTCCCGGCATGGCGATTACCGCGCTGTTCATTGGCCGGAATATTAAGGGCCCCTGGCCACCTCCCACTTCCTGCACCTTCTGTGTTTCCAAGCCTGTTACTCCATGTCAGGATAGGTGGGTGTACTCGTGATGAGAAGAGAGGTAATATTTAGAATGAAAGGATATATAAGACTAAAAAGACGGTTGAGGAAGCTATAGAGCTTAATATCGGTGATATAACTTTTGAATTTTCTGTATATATATAGATATATAAGTAATTCAATGTTAGAATTTGGTATTTTTATATATGAAGTCGGAGAACGTGGCAGGCTGGTTGGATTAGCGTTTAGGATCGGTTATTGTAGCCTCGGGGCATTACTTTGGTTGGCATAAGCATCAGAATTGGATTCTTGTACCTATAGGAACTTAGGCAGGGCCCGTACGGCCGCCACCGACCCTGGAAGAGCCCCCGAAGGGAGCTATTTTAGGGTATAATGCAATCCCTCTCTTTTTCTTGACAGGGTAGTCGAGTAGGGGCCGGCCGAGTACGGGGTCGGTTATCTTACCTAGTATGCACATATGTTCTATAGTTTTCTGAAATGATGTACTATTAATATACCACACCATGTTCAGGTGATATCCGTTGTGGCTATCGTCGAGGAGTGAATCCGAAACAGATGATTGTTGGAAAACTCATTTAGATTAGGGTTACTCAAACCTAGAGAAAACATTGAAAGCGCAGGCGTTCACTGGAAAATAAAAAGCGCTGAGTGGCTGATGGACCTCTTAAACATGAAGTCACCTCTCAGGGTTAACGTTAGATTCTCTATTGCTACCTCAGCACAAATAACCCTTGTGTTTCATTTAAATGACATGGACTTTATCTATCCCAAACAACGCAAAAAAGAACTAAGATATGGCCTAGTTGTCATTACCCATCTTGCTAGAGCCACCTTTCAACCACAAGGTGCACAATGTAAGCGAAAATGGCACCAAAAAAAGTCATGACTTGTGCCAGGCTCGATCTGGCGACCTCTTGTGGCCAAACATGTCCTCGGTAGAAGGAAGTGTTAGACAAGCGTGATAACCTATGACTGTTAGAATAATGGAGTGATAAATGATGGAAATGAGGGTACTAACCAACTACACCAACAAGCCGTTATTGTCAGGTCGCAACAACATTCCAACCAAGTTCCCATGTTCCAGTCAAATTCAAAATCTATACCCAGCTTTTAGACCACTAGGTCAGGTGGGGCGTACGCCCCACCTTTGTGGCACATGAAGGCCAGTAGGACGCAGAACGCTTCTGTGGCGAGGTTAATTCACTGCAGGGGGTTTTAAAAGCTTATAAGCCCTGCGATGTAAGCCACTGAGTACATTATCAACCCCCCCTTGCAGTGAGGCCAAATATTATTAGCATCTTATAGCGCAAAGGTGTTAGTTCTTCCAAAAGAGAAGATCTGCTCGAAGAAGCTACCAATAGGCCCTTTTTTGGGGGTGAGGGGGGAAAAGCAACTCGCATTAATAATCTCTACACTCCGTTCCACAATAAAAATTTCGTATGATTGTTCTTACGCCTTAGCAACATGCTATATGATTAGGTGTATATTTAAAATACATATATAATAATAAACAACAATAGTAGGCCGCAGTGCACTAGAAAGTATAATTGGAGCTGACGATAAAAAAACATGACTTGTGCCAGGCTCGATCTGGCGACCTCTTGTGGTCAAACATGTTCCTTAGAAAGGAAAGTGTTAGACAAGCGTGATAACCTAGTTCTGTTAGAATAGCTATGATATGCTTTGCTAAGATGGGTTACTAACCAACTACACCAACAAGCCATTATTGTTAGTCCCTTCCAATAATGCAATCAAATTCTGAACCTTCCCCTAGCATTTAGACAGAATTTTTGATCTCGTTTTTTACGCCTTGGCAACTTGCTGTGTGATTAAGTGGGTAATAATAATATTTATTAAAAAAAGAAAAAAAAAAAACCCCCATAACGCTATGGCCCAGTGTAGAAACTAGAAAGTATAAATCTAACAAAAAATTTTGACTTGTGCCAGGCTCGATCTGGCGACCTCTCGTGGTCAAACATCTTCAAGTTGAAGGATGTGTGAGACGAACGTGATAACCTAGTTCTGTTAGAAATGCTATGATATGCTCTGTTGAGATGGGAGTACTAACCAACTACACTAACAAGCCGTTATGGAAGATTTGCCTTAACTTAATTATTTATGACTGTTATATCTTGAGCACTACGACAACACAGTCTTAGACTGCAAATTTTTTTCACACCGTCACTTGTTCCACAGTTCCTGATCTGGTTTAGTGTTATATAAGCGAGTACAGTGAGAAGTTAACTATCAGACTTCACATTATCACATAGTAGTCTTTTTAGCTCTAGAAGTACACAAGGCCTGTGATATTCTATATCTGGTTTCTCACCCCTAGTAACTTGCTGTGTTTGGACATGTAAATAAAAAAGGTGCAAAAAAAAAGCCCCACCCTGACCTAGGCGCTAAAAAGATACTTGGAGTATGCAAAAAAGTAAGAATGACTTGTGCCAGGCTCGATCTGGCGACCTCTTGTGGTCAGACATTTCCTTCACAGGAAGAGAATGTTAGACAAGCGTGATAACCTGACTTTTTGTTAGAGAGATTTGTGATAATATGAGAGAAGGTTTTACTAACCAACTACACCAACAAGCCATGTTGTTGTGGGAATGCTCCGAAGTATGGTAGCTGTTCTAAACTCATGGAATATGTGGTATTCACTTGTTCACTCGCACTCGTCTTAGGATGTCATCAAATCTAGAACTCCCAGTGTTGGCATCATTCTATGGTCGGGGATGACAATATAGGAACGCCAACAATATCATGGCTCTATCTCGTGGTTTCTCGCGTCGAAACTTGACAATGGATACGTCAACATTTTCTAATGACATGCTTGGTCAACAATAACATGCGTATATATTGTAGTGCGTACAGTTGCCAGTACGGTTCAGGTGACACACATCAATTGGTAATTATTCCACCGCCCACTGTATCAATTGGTCTGTGTACTATCGGTTCTAAAACACATATATTACCCGGAAAATTTTTTTTCGGCTGCACCTCAATTTATATATGTTGAGATGCTACGCAAGCCATTTTTGTTTGATTCTGCGTTGAAAAGGTTGTTGTGGTTTATTGATAAAGACCTAGTTTGTGTGTGTTGTATTTATATGGTGGGATGTATGAGGGAAAAAAAAAATAAAAATGTGATTATTGTAATGGGGTGTGGGTTGTCGCGGAACAAGCTATGTTTAAGTATTGAAGGAGTTATATATAAACACGGCTCCACGGCATTGTTGACATACTATTTAACACAACATACACCAGATGTCGACTTACCACATAAACTACAGAAACATCTGAAGCGTCGAAAACAATCAAAAAGCACACTCACATCCTGGCAGTATTTCGATTTACCACAATGAGATCACACGAGAAGTTAAAACAATTGAAAATCAAACGAAAATCGGTTGCATCGCACGTTTACGCGGCATATACGTGGTAAATTAAATCGAGTAAAAATGATATGCGCATTTTCACAGCATTTTGATTTAGTATATAAATTAAATGGAGAATCTAAATCAATTGAAAAACATTTATGCAGCTTGCGCCCTTACCATATAGATCAACTAGACGTGAAATTGAAATGGGATGAAAGTGTCGTTGCAACTTGTGCACCGACCTGCTGTTGCACCGAAAAGAAAGCTCCACCGGTGCTGATTCCAACTCACAGTATCACTACACCGTTCGTGCCGAACTAATCACAGAGTGCCTCCTGTTGATTTTGTCGCGGTTTGAGGTACGCGTTCAGCCCGACGTCGCCTTTGAATAGAAGACGAGTCGCCGCGCCAAGCAAACAGCTGAGAATCAATATCCTTAAATTTACATACATGTATTATCTATTATTACGAGGTAACAATCTCTTATAAACTGAGAATAGCAGCAGCGCTAGGTAACAAAAAAAAATACTGGGGCTATTGCAAGGCAACGATCTCTTATAAGCTGAGAATAGCAGTAGCGCTTTGTAGCAAAAAATATTGGGGTCAACGGGGAATCGAACCCCGGATCTCGCCCATACAAGCAGGTTAACCTGCTCGGTTAAACGTTGTCCCGAAGGGCGAATTCTACCACTAAACCATTGACCCATTTAATAATTTTCCTAAAAAATTAATAGTTGAGTATCAGAGAATACCTGAGTCGAATTACTTGTGTACGTAATTGGGGCGCGGTGTCGAATTGCGCAGATAAGCAATGCCAGTAAGCTTGTAATAACATACAATGGAGATGTATTATCAACTGCGAGGCAACAGTATCTCTTAATCGGTTTATATTCTTATGAATCGGCCACATCCAATACGGACTAGAGTATTCCACCGCCAGAAGAGCCATCTCGCCCGAGCCGATATGTAGACACAGGTTCTAGCTTGTAGATCTACGCTCGTGGGATATCTAGATCCTTTTCTAAAATTAGGAAAGAAACCGAAAATTTTACGCATGAAGCTTACCACTGTCCAGCGACCGCCTCCTCCTAAATTCCCACCGAAACTGTATACTTCTAGGCCTCCATCTTCCTCATTTTTTTCTGAACCGATGTTTAATACTCATACATTCAACAACAACCGAAGGGAGAAATCCCAACTTACTACAGTCCAGCGACCACCTCCTCCAAGATTTACACGGAAACCGTCCACTTCAAAATCCTCTGGGTTCGGAGAAGCCCTTGCTTCACCAATTGAAGCGAGAAAGAGGATGACCCACGGGAGTATGATTGATACCCTCATATTGGACATGGACTTGTATGAATGATGGATAAAATGAAAATAAAATAAAGACAGGCTATTTTGTACGGTTGAGTAAATCGATACAGGCTTGGGGGCTTTCAGGTTTATCTATCTTTTAGTTACAGGATAGTTGCCCCTCTGAGTCCATTTCCTCGTACGAAACCGAGACGTATAGTTGCGTTATTACCGTGGCTACAAACATATCCCCTATTAGCAAGGTTGCAGGTCACACTAGCACCTTCTATGTCCATGTTAGTGGTTAGCTTAGTCAGGCCTGTTTGGCCGCTAAGAATGTGATATAGTGTATCACACAGTTTTATTTAGCACGGGTCATACAAATTGGCATATTATTATCAAGTAGTGTATGCTCTTGTTGGCTGATGTCAAATAACACTGTAGTTCCTTATTCATCGAAAGCGTGAAATTTAAAATAGCTCATAACAACAATAATAATCCATATCAGCTCGGATAATTTCCTAAAAACCAGGGGTACCTAGGTATAACCCCCAATTACATGTATAGAGATGACCTGCACAATTGGAGCCTGGGAGAAGAACCAGCAACCCCCCTGTGTTGCTAAGACATCTCACTGACACTTGAGTAAGGCAATAGCTCTATTTATAAAATGCTAGTTGATAACCTGCCATTACTTAGTGCTTATGTCGTAACGCAATTAGACTTCGATCAGGACGCCAACCGATAACAGGTCAAGTAGCCATACGTATGGAAATTGGGCGCAGGATATTGCCGTTTTAGGGAAAGTTTCGATCAAACTCCTAGCCTCTAGAATTGTCATTAAAGATGAAATAAAAACAAAGCTACTCATGACGTCTTGTCACTAGCCTTCAACTCTAGCCAAGATGAAAGAGATGGTCAGTAGCACCTCACTGGAGCCGCTTTCTATCAACAGCGACAGTGATGGCAGCATCCCTGACTTGAACGAGAAGAAAAATATCCATTCTCCACTTTTCACCTATAAGTCCCTATCAATCTCGATTTCTTTTTATTGTACGTCATTTTCAATTTTGTTCATTCCATTGGTACTCTATACTGTACTGACTGCTATCCATGAGCACCCGCATTGGAGGAGGTAAAATACGAAAAAGTTCAATCTGCTGGTCTCCAGGGATCGAATTCAATATGGAGAGGACCCCAGCTCTGTCCTTGATGAGGCATGGAACAACGTCACTTGGAAAAATAGTCATTATTTAAAAAGAAATAGACCTGGTGCGTGTAATGACTAATTTTTTTACAGTCCCAGAAATCCCTGTTGATGAAAGTGTTGTTCATCGAGCGAATAACCAATTAGACATAAACTCTTTGACACGGTTTCCACCTGAGTCTGGAGGACAGATATACCTAGAGGTAGAATGGAAACATCAACTACGCTGTCTGATACGTGATCCCAAGTGCTGGATTGCCTAAATAATTCTACGTATTTACCAATATGATGTATAAAATCTCATTCGGAAGTACATATATTTCGATTGCTATAAAAAACCCACGTCTCCATTCTACGCATACTCTCCCGGCCAGATTGTAAACCATTTGGGTATTTTCCGCTCCTGGTTATCTTTTTTTTAAAAAAAAAAAAAAAAAAAAAAAAAAAAAAAAATAGAAACCTAGATGCTAATTCCATTTTCTATTCATAATAGCTCACTGTGTCGATGTGCTCCGTCAGCCTGTTATGTGTAATGCTGACACGGGGCTGAAATCCTCATATTGGATTGAAGGGAGAGACGAATTATATCTCTAACGGGAAGATTGACACGATTTGTAGCTTATAGAGTGTAATTCGTACTCCCTCATCGAAATAGTAAAGCCTCGGCTATATTGCTGTATTATGATTCTGGGCCCTAGGTTCAGCTTGCCCTGGTTTAATGGCGGCCCATTTACTAGCGACTTTCCGCTGCAAACAGGATATCACTACTGCTGACTTAGGTACATGTTGAATGTGGTGTACTTGATTACATATATTTAAGCTAGGGATGCCCACTGGCCTTTAGTGACGCACGCTCAGCTAAAACCCGGGATAGTTATTTCCGCGTCTCGATTAAGTAATACAGTAATCCTAGTCCGAGAGAAACGTACGCATGTAGTCGTGCCAACCAATGCTTATACATAAACCCAAAATATTGGTTCGGCATGCTTTGTGGGCGTTAATAAGTGCTTTTCTCACCGTCACCCGTCGACCCAATTCAATATTCAACTCGGATGCACCGTCAATCAAGAAAAAAAAGATAGAAAGAGTGTATCAGATTCTTGCTCCAACATGCGCTGTAGGAACTTTCGACAGCCAATACCGCTATCTGAAACAGGTGGGCGAGGGTTCCTATAGTGCCGTGATCAAAGCACAGTCATCGACCACTGGCGACCTTGTTGCTATCAGTCTTCAACAAAAAGGAAGACAAAGAAACATTCGATGAGTACATTGAGAAAGCCCAGTCTCAGTTCAATCTAGCGTGTCAATTGGTACACCCTAATATTATCCGATCGCTCGAAGTAAGGCAAGACGAAGAAAAGTCGTTGTATGTCATGGAGTATTGCGATACTCAATTGATTACAAGAGTGCTCTCTCAAAGCATGACTCAAGACGACATACCGGATGTATTTGTGCAACTTTTGAAAGCTGTACAATATCTGCATATGAGAGAGGCATTGCGTATCGTGACATCAAAATCCGCAATATAAAGATATGTAGCGATGGAAATGCCAAGATGATCGATTTTGGCGAAACATTGAACTTGACTCGGGTGGGAAAAGGAAATATAGCTTGGTGGCATCCCAATACTATGACGAAAATTTGAATATCGTCGACTTAGTACTAACTTATTTTTTGAGGCTTTGTCGGTACATACGAATATAACGCTCTTGAAGTGTATGGAACAGAGCCATATAACGCTTTAAAGGCGGATGTATGGGCATCAGCCATCCTCTTTTGTGCGCTGTCGCTACAGGACTATCCCTGGAACCGAGCTCGGATGGCCGACCCTAGTTTCTCTGTCTTATCGGACTACGTATCAAGAGATTTTCTCGTCTCACAAAGATCTACATCCTTGCTCCTGGCACCGTTCTCTGTTTCCACGAAGTGGCAGCGTTTGAGGGCATGTTGTGGTTGACTCCGTATACATGCTCAAGTTGTTCTTTATATATCAATCTAAGATAATCGCGTTAGAGGCATCAATAATCATTGAACTGGTCATCATCTTCTTCAATGACGGTAACTTTCATAATATTATGAGCACGTTCACAACGTTGTCCCAGTGCCGTGCCTGCGCTCCTTGTAGTCCGTCTCGGCTGATTTACCCTCGCTCGTCAGTTCCTTGACACTCTTTCTTACTACATCAGCCACACTGCCTTCAGCCTTACAATAGAGCGCCAAGGTTGCTATCACGGGATACGTCAACGAAATTCTATATGGTGCTTAGCCAGGCTAGAATAGTTTGCACTCCAGTGGAGATGACTGCAAATGCATTGGTCGCGTCGTGCAGCGAAACGAAACGAAAGGAAAGAGAGGGAGAGGGAAAAAGAGCACCAGCAGGATGGACAAGCAATGAACGACAAGCGACGAGGGAATAGGCGAGAGGAAAGTAGTGTCGTTTAGAAAGAACCTTGGCATTAAATATTACCGGGTACAGCTACAGTAGAGAAGCAGACTGGCTGATAAGATAAGAGAGATCTGGCCGTCGAGCCGTTAGCCTCGGTCCGGCCTTCTAGCACCATCTGCGCATGCCCCGGACTCCTCTCCCCCATTCATCTCATACCACGCCGGCTTTTTCTCTCTTCACCTTCCCCCTTTTTCTTTTCTTCGAATCCATCCTCAGTTTTGCCTCCCCCAATTGTCCACCTGTCTCCCGTTCTTTTTATTGTACAGCAGTCAGTCGGAATTCCTTGGAAGATGGGGTCGACCAACGGCAAGACCACCAAGGTGCCACTGGTGCCACTGGCCAAGGATACTGTTCTGCTTCCCGGCGTCACGCTTCGCATTTCCCTTACGAACCGTCCAGATATCGCCAATCTCCTCTCATCCTTGCTGACCCGTGGAAAAAGAGACAATCTCCTGATCGGATGCGTGCCGCTTGCATCGCCTCGGCTCAGTAAGACCGGCCAGCAACTGATCGAGAACAGCTCGGATGCGCAGAACGAAGACTTTGAGAATATCGATGCAGGCCAGGCCCGGAAGGGAGACCTATTTAAGTATGGCACTGTTGCCAGGATTGTTGGCGTCCAACGCAGAGTGTATTCAGACCCTTATCTACTCGTGGAGGGCGTGAGACGGCTTTCTGTTGTGAAGGTGCTGAAAGAGCGGCCATTCTTTGAGGCGGAAGTTACTTTACATGAAGATGTTGGTAAGTTCCATACAC